CGGGCGTAAACATAATTTTAGCAAAAAATGTACTAGATAAAAATGTATTTGGCAAAAAATGTATTAAGACAAAAATGTATTATTAGTGAGTTCAAAACGAAAATTGAAAAACGTAACAACAAAATCCAACATTTTTTTTATTTAAAATGTATTAAATAAATGCATAAAACTCGAAAATGAATGAAAATAACTTGCTAATTAATATTTTTATTCATTTTGCAAAATAATTGCATTTCGATAGTGGTGTCACTGAGTCTGCTGCGAGAATTTCTCAGAACGTGCTTAGCCACGCTGAATAAACGCTCCACGGGAGCACTAGAAGGTACTGCGGTGTTATATTTCACAAATAATTTTTTTACGATTGGATATCGATTCAAAATTGATATGCTTTCCGTTTCGACATTTGAGCTCATGTATGCCATAAATTCTTCTGTCGCTGGCATGATGTTTTCAGCTTTAGAAAATTGAAAATCCCTGGGTTTTTTTCTGTTACGTTATTAGTTATAGCAGGGTGTTCAGCTTGGACAATTCCTTCCAATTTTTTTGTAGCTTCCTCCCTAGCTATTTCTTTCAACCAATTAGATTTGATGCAAGGTACCAGACCTGCAGCAAACAATAAATCGTCCTGCGATTTCACATCGCGAAACCTTTCGTAGTTCAAAAGAGCCGTCTTTTCCCTTTCTTGAAAGGGAAAGGACGGCTTTTTTGAACTGCGAAATGACAATTTTAAAAGGTCAAAGTATTTAAACACGAAGTTATCTGTGAATGCATATATATTGAACATTAATTTTATAAATTAGAAAAACATAAGCATTTTTTTTTAATAAATTTTTTTTTTACCGAAACTTACCGAGTTTTAGAAAAAAGTAACGATTTCAATCGACATTTCCGTTACAAATACTTGTACTTTTTCCCTAAAAAAGTAACGAAAGTACAAGTAAAAGTACTAAATTTAAAAAGTAACGAAGTACAAGTAAAAGTACGTACTTTTTACTTGTACCGGCGGTACAAGTAACGAAAGTAAAAGTACTGCCATATATGTTCTGTTCGTAGCATTCATTACGTTGTTGTTTTTAAAAGTAATATTGGAGGAGATGAAGAGGAAAGCAAATCGCATGGTCAAACTCGAATAAAAAACTAAAAGCTCAATTTTAAAATCGAATACAAAAATGAAATTTGATGAGTCAACAGAATTGACAATGCCGGAAGCAATTTTGTAAAAATGTCATGAACGCATGAATTGAGTTCCTCTTGGCATACTTTAAAAACTATTTCTGAAGAATATCTTGTAAATATATAATTACTTAATGGTTTGAAAAATTTAAACTGTTAATATAGTTCCCAAAATAGCATTTTACATTTTTATGCTCTTTTAATTGGATACCAGTTTTTTCCAAACGAGGAAATGTACTACTGAAGCTATCGTAACCTTGTCAGTATAGAAATTTCCTGCCAAACGTCAATGTTCCAAAAATAGAACATAGTTAAAAACGCGATTAAAATTTTTTTTCACATTCTTTTTTCTTTTCTTTTACTGTCTTTAAATGCTATTTGGTATTGAATTTATCAAGTTTCAAGTTATTCAGCATTTAAACCATTAAATAATTTTCAAACTTTCAAGTTTGCAATTTTAGTCAGATTTTTTCTTAGTGGGCAGTATTGTTTGGATTATTTTGTATTAATAAAGTGGATATTATTTTTCGTAGTTTTATTATCGCATAGAATTTTTGCATACTAATTTCAATTTCTAATAGAAAAATCTGCTTCATTATTTATATTACCTACAATGAATTGCACACAATTGCTAATGGTAAAGGAGTTCGTGTGTCGGGTCAAGTATTAAGAGATGATGGTTTCACGCCATCAGAACAGTTTTTTAACCTCCTCCTTCTCGCTCCCGTGATATTTCCGGGCTGGAGTGTTCAGTAGTAACGCGCGAATAAGAATAAAACTAATTCATTTCCTTTGCCCGGAAAAAATTTTATTTCTCATTTTACACACCAGGTGGCAGTACTAGGATATTTTAAGGTAATTGTAGAAATTGTGGAAAAGATATGTAGGAAGGAAACTCGGTACTACTTTCTAGATTGTGACGTTGGATTCTGTATCTCATGCTTTGAAATTTATCACACAAGAAAAAATTACTGATCTTTATTTATATTAAACGTAAGTTTAATAAAATTCTTTTTTAATGTTTAAAACACATATTTTTTTAAATTTTCCTTGCTTGCTGTAAAATCAACATTAAGTCATAATGTTGGCTTTTCCAAAAAATTTAATTTTTTAAACTTTCAGGTTAACAAATCAAAAATTAAAAATGAGTATATATATTGTTCATACACATATTTTTATATAATTTTTATGGAAAAAATAGGCACTTTTATGCCCGTTTTCTTGAAAATTTATCGATCCTTAATAAAGTTGTGAAATTTGGACTACAGGTATGAGATGTAATTTTACCCTCTATCATGAAAATGATTATAGATTTTAATAAGTTCGGTTGGAAAAATGAGAGAAGAATGAATTTTACTCGTAGGTTTGTAAACTGTTCTGTTTTTTTCACCAAGTATTTAAAAGAAAAACTAGTGATTTTTTGCTTTGTCATAATACGTTTTATTTTAAGAACGAGTTTACTGGGAGTTTATTATGAGTTCTAATTATTTTTACGAGTTTATTATGTGTTCTGGGAGTTTATTATGCAAGTTTGAGTTTCATTTCCAAATTAGTATTATAAAAACTATACCTAATTGTTAATTTTATTTATAAACGATCCTGGTCTTAAAATACTTGTCTTATTGGCAGATTTGGTTCGTTTCTATGTCTATTGTTAAATTACATTATGTAAATCTCGTAATTTTCACTTGTCATCGATCAATAAATGTACAGGATGGTTCTAAATTTTTGACCTAAACAATAAAAGGAGGGAAACTATAACCAGAGGAATATTGTTTCAGCTATTTTGCTAAAAATTACTTCAAGTAGATTGTCTTTTACTATAAACTGAAAATGATTGTGAAAAATCAAAGGATCCTTAGGATAATTATAAAATTAGATAAGTCTTCAATTTTGGAAGAAAAAAATTATTCTGAGTATTTATTGTTGAATTTGATAACAAAAAAAATGAAATATATGATGTAATAGTTCAATATGCTTCTAACTACTTAATTTACAAAACATGAAAATTAATCTATTTACTTCTTTAGTAATCTGAATATTATATATTTTATAAAGAAACAAACAATGCTGTGCAGTGCGCGAAAAATAAGAAAAAAAAGGACAATTAATAACTTTCCATCTAATGATTGGATCTTAACGTTTAAAGACTCAAATCTTAATGGTTTGACTGAATGATCTCAAACAGCCCAATTAATTAATGCAGGCGATATGTTGCAAAATCAAACATAAAAACGTTCTTCCTCTGAATAAACCTATTTTTAATGGATTCCAAATACTGACCCCAAAATATAGGAGGTAGCCGCAATCTGGGAAACATGTCTCCCATAGTTTGGTCAGGAAAGCAATTTAAATTTTAGATCCCTTAATATTAATTTCACTTTTAGTGCGAGAACTTTTTAAGCAAGTTGAAAAATTTTTGAACACTATTGTAAAATTCGTTTATCCAAAGATAATTCCACGAAAATGATAAATTTTAGTTAATGTTTATTATTTTATTTAATAATAGTCTAAAAAATTGAATCGTAGGATATACAATTTGTTACGTCATTTAAAAGTATGCAATTTTACATGGCAAAATACTAAACATTAAGATCCCATCATTTGATCAAAAGTTATTCAGGGTGGGTCTTTTTGGTACAAAATGTATTTCAACAAAATGTTGGTATTTTCAATGTTGCCTAATTTTTGACTGCTCATCTCTTTAATCTATTTGAAAAATATCATGCTTACTAGAATGCGATTAATCCTTATAGTTTTAGAGATCGAAGCTGTTATAAAAGAAAACAGCTATTAATAAGGGATAATAAAAATGAAATCTTTGCAAAAATAATTTTGGATTTTCTTTTTGCAAGGCGTTTGTAGATGTTTAAACAATATTGAGTGTAGATACTTTTATTGAAACAAACTTAGTATTAATGCGCAATATTTTTAACAATGTATAATAAAAATGCATAAATAATTAAAAAATTTGGATTTAAAGGTATATTTAAGTGCATTTTTCGGAAAAAAAAGAGGCAAAAATTAAACAAAATACTATATACATTTTGTTAAAAAAAAATATGAATCCCATACCAGATTGATTGATTAATGAAATCTAGAGATATTTGTAAAAAAAAGGACAACTTCATTAATCTACTCCATACGGTAATCTTTCTGATTTCGATGTTTTTAGTTCCGCTTTCTTCAGTAGTTGTTTTGTAGATTTTGTTAGCACTTTTGCTTTTTTTAAATGTTAAAATTGTTAGTTGTTGTTCTTTAATTGTTGTTTGTGACCACTAAATAAATTTCTTTTTTGATAAGGACTCTAAAAATATTTGTAAAGGACGATCATTACAAAATACCCTATAATATTAAAATAAATTGAAATGAATGTATGTGAACTGAAAATAGGTATTGAATAAATAAGAAACAGCAACATGAATATGTTTATTATTCAATAACAATGAGCACCATAAAACAATATCAATAATTCAATAATATTTAGCTTTAATTGTTAGTTTTTAAAATACACCATAGAATAAATAAAACATGCCTATCAAAAGAGTTTGTTTTAAGGATATATATATATATTTCATACTCGAGTAAATTTAAGAATTGTAAAAGAAATTAATAACTTTATTTTTTTTTCAATATAGATTTTCAATTCCCATGGGAGAGCAAGGATTATAATGTCTGATAAAAAAGATAAAATTTAACTTTGTTACTGTGAATATAATTAAATATGATATATAAATTGCGAATTTATTAGTTTGAGAGTTAGTAAATAAAAATTTATTGAATGTAGAAAATATTAACAATAATTATCTAAAAATTATTATTATTAATATTAAATTGATTGTAGAAATTATTAAAATGTTTTTCTAAATTAATACAATATTTTTACAAATAAAACATAGTGATTTTCTCTAAATCTCCTTTTTTTATCATTTATATGCTTATGTATGCTTTTTTACATAGCTAAGATAATCATATTGTTAACATACGATTTTGAGCTTTATGACATCCACATTAAATACATTCATTACTTGCTATATTCTATTTCATCGTAAATTAGACAATGTCGTACTACATTAACACACTACTTGAAGTAAAAAAATAAATTATTTGAGTTTTTACTTATTTTAAATTCAAATAATTAATAAAGAGCCCCAAAAAGAACATACAGAAATAAATACTAAGTTACAAAATTATTTCTTCAAGTTGCACAGTACACAATGTCTTTAAACACAATCTTTGGCATCGCGTTTAAACTTCTTAAAATTGGATATTCAATTGTTTAAGGCATTAAACACCACGTTTATTTTTTTCAAATGTACGTGTTAAGACTATACTTTAAATTATTTTGTGAACATAGTGTTTAACGTATTAAACATGCGAATAAAATAGAATTCATCTGCTCTGTATTTTCAGTATTTATATACTCGACGTACACAAAACACACCAGAAACAGAATAGGCAAATGATAGTATGCTAAAGTAAGAAAACATTTTCTGCCATCGAAGCAAATCGAAACTGATATGATTGGCTACACTTTTTTAAGAGTCCAGATTTTAAATCCAATGGATTTCCCATCGGATTTAAATACACTATGAGTTAATTGTCGGATTTATTCAAACAGTTTGAGCGCTACTTACATTTGGCGTTACTGTTAACATCCTGGACAGAAACAGACTGGCAAATGCGCTCCTGAAATCTCGACTCATGACGCAGTATATAATAAAGTTAATGGCGTTATTTACCAAGGCGAGAGAATCCATTACTTCACCGAAATTGAAATACACATTTTCATAAAATTCAGAACCCAAAATGCCTGTCAGCAGTGCTAAAAGTCCTGATGGAAATTCAGTAATCAGGAATAGCAGTAGCACAACCAACAGCATTCGCGTCGTGTTGTCATGGTTACTTTCAGAGTCAGGTCTTCTCATGAGACGATGGCGGCGTTGGTTTCTTTCATATAGGACTTTTATGAGTCCGAAACTGATGCCAGTGAGCAAAACACACGGAACAAGCTTCATCAAGACGCTGTAAGTCCAAAATGTCACTTTCTGAAGCAATTTGTTATGCTCATGAGATATCTTGCTGAAATCTACCTGGTAGATAAAGTCATTCGCTTCGTCTCTGTATTGGTATATTTCGAAGTTAAAATATGCTGGAATTGCAAATAATGAGCACATAACATAAGTGATTGCGATCGCTAATATGGCCCTGCTCATACTACACCAAACTACAGCGTGGTTAGGCAACGTTATAGCTAAAAATCGCCAAATGGCGAGAGTTACAGTCAGCCAAGTGGAAATATTGTGACATACAATAGTGAAATGTTGATGTAATAAAGTGAATACTGCCCAACTATAAGCAAACTTATGCTTATCTTCTAGTCCTTTTCTAATATAGTTATGGTATGCAAAAGGTATGTATGAAAACATCACAAGCACGTCAGATACTGCTAAGCCTATTAGGATTGTATTCGTTGGAGAAATCATATTCTTTCTTGTCAAAACTATAATAATTAAAATATTTGACGTTATTCCAAAAATGCAGCATGCCAAACTGAGGTAACCATGCACTGATGCGTAAGCAATCCTGAATTCGTCCAAAACGTGTCCATAGTATGGAAGAACTATTGCTTCTGCAACGACAGAATCAGAAAGTGTGAAGTTCCAGAGTGATATGTTTCCAAAAGAAATATCCATGTTATAGTTTTCGTCTTGGGAAAATTCAAGAATGGAATGCTGCTAATATTTTAAGAATCTATTAAAAGCATTTTTTTAAATTTTGTTTTCATAGATATGTCCTTAAAGTAATTAACTGTTCCGAATAACTTTTGCAGTTGTTTATAATCTATAGAACATTCACATAACTGTAAACCTTGAGTGCTTGAAAAACACAATGACGTTGACAAGTAAATGGAAAAATAAAACTAGGTTTTTCTTCTGATATTCATTGTGGAAGTTGTAAACCAGCTTGGATTTATCTGCAATAAAAATGCAATATGTAATATAAATAAAAACAATTATAACTACAGCTTAAATAATATTTTGAGATTTTATAGGAAAAAAAATAACTTTCTTAATATCGGCTCAAACCAAACACAAAGACAACAATAACAATATAACATATTTAGATATGCGAACAAAAAAATAGCTCATTTTCGTTCCAAGTAATTATAAATTTAAGCTTTAGCATCGTTCTTAGTGTCAATATTGCGAGTTATAATTATTTGTTTTTATTCACTGAAATGCATCCTCCATTTTTCTTCCCTTTAGAGTACGTATAATTAAAATGATTTAACTTCACATACTAAGCCAGCAGTAAAAAATTTAAGATCTAGTATGAAAATGATTTAATACTCCTTTCATCAAAGGGAGTTCATTGTTAAAAATTGAAATTATTTTTAATTTGCAATTACATACGATACACTAAATTGTGTTTTATGAAGTAATAGTAAATATTTATGAAACTAAAAATATTATTTGTTAAAAATGCATTTTGAATGAGGTATTTACAATATGTAAGCCTTATAAGCTTATGAAAATGTAATGAGGAATTGCAGATCAGTGTAAACAAATATACACTGATATGACAAAAGTTATGGAATACCACTTATTGTATTGTAAGATCTCCTATATCTCTGCAATAAGTGAAACAACGTATGGACTCCACAAGTAGTAAGAAGGCTCTTGCAGAAATATTTAGTCATTCAGCCTCAATAGATGTCCATAATTGCAAAAGTACTGGGAGCAGGATTTTTGCAAGTATGGACATCTATTGAGGATGCGGAAACAGGATTTTGTACAGAAGCAGACCTCTCGATTACATCCCATATATGTTCGACGAGATTCATGTTCGGTAATCTAGAGGTCCAAATCATTCACAGGAATTGTTCAGAACGTTCTTCAAACCAGTTGCTAACAATTAAGGCCTTATGGCGTGGAGCATTGCATCCATAAAAATTCAATGGTTGTTTGGGTATATAGAGCCCATAAATGGCTGTGAGTGTTCTCCAAGTACCTGAACATAACCATTTCTAGTCAATGATCGAGGCAATTGAAACTTAGGACCCATCCCATGCCATGAAAAAGGAGCCCACACTATTATAAACCCACAACCCGATGGCACAGTGCCTAGGGAACAACTTGGGTCAATTGCTTCGAAGCAGGGCTCGAAAAACCACCCGTCCACCCGTCGTCGGCGGTCAAAAATTTCCCGCGGACAACGAACTTCTCGAATCAGACGTCCGCGCGGACGGCCATTTTTCCGTTAATGTTCGTGATATACTTTCAATTTTTGTTATCTTACAAGAGTCTAGCGCCTCACTTCTAAAATGACCCTCTAATCTAGAAATCCCGTTCAGCAACATACTGCGCATGGTGGATTGATGTTTTTTTCCGTTTGTGGGGGAGTACTGCAGCAGTTGAAAGGGACTTTTCAGCAATGAACTTACAAAAAAAACACATTACGTAAGCGTTAAACGCAATTATGAACATCCACCTAAATGGAAAACCCCTTTCAGATTTCTGTGCAGAAACCTCTGTAAATCATAGGCTTGATTGTGGAACTGGCAAACGTCATATTTGATTCATTTAAAAAACGCAGTACCCTCGGATGAATTGACATTCCAGATAACTTGATCTTTGTCATTTAAATTATTTCATAAAAGAAATAAATTATTTCATTAAAGAAATACTAGGTTTTACTATTAGTAACCTAGTATTTCTTTTATTACTGTATAATGTAATTCTAGTAGCTACTAATTCTTTGTGTAATTTATATAAATGTTTGTAATAAATAAGAAAAAATTATATTTTTATTTATTTAGAAGCGAGGGGTTAGTTTCAAAGGAGGACGGGTACATTGTTGAGCTAGCCGTCCTCGGGGACGGGTAAAATTTCTGAGTTTTTTCGAGCCCTGCTTCGAAGGGTCTACGTAACAATCGAACTCTCCTATCTGCTCTAACGCACTGAAATCGTTACTCATCTGAACAACCTACAATTTTTCAGTCATTTCGGGTGCAACTAATTTGGTCAAGCGTCTAGAAGAGGCGCTGTGCGTGATGTCGTGCTCTTAATAAAGGCAATCGAGTAGGTCTTCTGTTGTCATATCTCATTACAGTCAGTTCAGTTCAGTCAGTTCACCCCCTTGTCCATACGGACACGTTCATTTCGCGTCCTACATTGATGCGTTTGGTTATTTCACGCAATGTTACTTGTCTGTTAACACTTACAATTCTACGCACAGGTCAGCGGTCTTCATCATTAAGTGCAAGCGTATCGTGTACAAAATGTATATATGGGTAGTGCAATGGTAGGAAATTTATTTATGCTCAAGTTTTTCATCTGAGAATGTTTATCGTGTAATTATTACCCTAAGACGAAAAATAACAGATTTTGAACATGGAATGGTAGTTGGAGGTAGATACATGGGACATTCCATTTCAAAACTTGAGGAATTCAACATTCCAATCTTTGTCTTTAAATGCAAGCGGTTTTCCACTATGTTGCCCATAGTGGAAGTTTATGTTTAAAATAAGGTATTCTTGGCACACTTTTGTCACTTTAGATTTAGGAATGATGAATTCCTCCAGTTTTGAAATGGAATGTCCCATGCATCTAATTCCAACTACCATTCCATGTTCAAAGTCTGTTATTTTTCGTCTTCGGGTAATAATTACACGATAAACATTCTCAAATGAACAATTTGAGCATAAATATATTTCTTACCATTGCATTACCCATATATAAATTTTGCACGCGATACTACTGCCACCTGTATATTTGCATATTGCTATCCTATGACTTTTGTCACCTCAGTGTATAGTAAGTAATTTTGCAAGATCAGATCATTACAGTGTATCAAGATATTATCCTATACAGCAAATAGATTTTCACCAGCACTCAGCAAAAGTCTAAAATTTGGTGAATGTTACATTTGCAAAATTACTTTAGTGAAGGTCCCAAATACTTGTTAAATATCATTATTCTCCAATTACATCGAAAATGTCAAAATTTAGCTTTTTTTATTTTGATGTTGAATGTTTAATGAATGGAAATTTTAAAAAAAATATTAAGGAAGTAAAAACATCATCACCATCAGAATTTCCACATTTACCAGCATAAGTCATATTTAAAAAATTTTTTGGATATTCCCCATAATATTAAGGTTCATTAATTTCATTTTTTTAGAGATTAAGATTTCCATAAACCATTCAAGGAAAAATAAAGTTAACAAAAGTATTACTGAAGTCAATATAACAAAAATAAATTTCTCATTTATCAAAATCAAACATGAAAAACATAACTTAAATTAATATAAAAAATATTTCTCTTTAGTATTTCAAAGAAATTTTGCATAGCTACATATATAATCTTAAAACTGAAAAAAATTTGAATGTTACCTGGTTCAACTACTGACATTCAAACAGAGGTTACTGTACCATTTGTTACGTTTTTAACACAATTGGGAAAGAACAAGTTTGCAAAAGTATTTCTGAACTGTTGGCTCATCGAACAGTATATAATAAAGTTAATTGCACTATTTATGAGCGCCAAAGCATCCATAATATCGCCAAAATTCACATACACATTTTCAAAAAATTCCGATCCAAGAATGCCACTCAACAAAGCTAAAAGTCCAGAGGGAAATTCAGTCAGTAGAAACAAAAGCAACACTGCCAACAGCATCTGCGTTGTTCTATCGTGATCTTGGTTGCGTTTCAGTCTCTTTCTTCTCTGGTTTCTTTCGTACAGAATTCTAATGAGTCCAAGACTTATACCAGTCAACGCGACGCAAGGGACAAGTTTCGTAATGACACTGAAAATCCAAAAGTTCATATTTTTCAGCAAGTTATTATGCCTCTTAGCTATATCACTGAAATTAACAATGTAAACAACTTGTCCTTCCTTATCTTGGAAACTGAAAATGGAAAACGTAAGATATGCCGGTATGCAAAAAATGGCGGACATCATGTAGGTGAAGAAAATGGCATATTTCGCCCTCCTCATGTTGCACCAAACAGTTGTATTCTGAGGAAAGCTGACTGCCAGGAATCGCCAGATGGCGACAGTTACAGTTAGCCATGTCGATATGGTGTGGAACACTATGGTGAAATGGGCATGGAATAGTGTGAACACTGCCCATCCATAGGAGAACTTTTCTGTCTCTGGTATATCAGTTCTAATGTAGTTATGATATGTAAAGGGTAGGTAAGATACCATGACTAGCATATCAGCCATTGCTAGTCCAGTAAGTATGGCGTTGGTAGGGGACAACATGATTTTTCGGGTAAGAACTATAACATTGAGCACATTTGCTGTGATACCAAACACACAGAAAGCAAAACTGAGATAACCATGGACGTACCCGTAACCTGCTCTTAGTTTTGCTAAGTAATCACCATAATAGGGATAGTGGACATCTTCAGAGTATAGGAATCGCTGGGTTTCATTGTCGCTGCTGAAGTTCGTAAAATAACCGTCACTCAAAGACGCGTTAATATATACTTGTAAATCCATTCTTCTCAAATCCAACAAAAAAGCATAAGATTGCTATTTTGGAGGTATTATCTTACTTCTTTCTTCTTAATTATTTCTTCTTAATTATTCCTTCCTAATTATTTCTTCTCAATTATTTCTTCTTAATTATTTCTTCTTAATTATTTCTTCTTAATTATTTTCCTTCATAATTATTTTTCTTCATTCAAACCATTCAAATCTTTGCACACATAACAATAGCAGCGTTTAAAGAAAAATTTAATATTTTTTCTCTCCAGATTCTCGATTTAGGCTTCAGCACTATGACTTAAACTCAACCTTGTACTTTAGAAAAGCACCACGCAACTATAAATACAAGGTAAGAATTGCGAAGATAATGCTGCACATGTGATTATATAGTTTTATAATTTTCTTTAGCATATTTCTCCCCAGAATCAAAAATTTTGTTAAAGTAGAATTTTTTTTTAGATAATATATTGGCTCTCTATCGATTCTTCAGTTTCCTTCAGATAAGCTTCAACACGATTATTACCTTAATACCACTAAATTCATTATTGAAACTAGAATTTTAAACAATTTATTTTATTTCAAATTCATGCATACAGCCGATTAGAGTGTGATTACGAATAAAAAAAAAATCGAATAAATCATGAACTTCACTTTTTTATGTAGCTTCAATGAAATTTAGCAAACGAAATTCGAATACATCGTGTAAGTTTCAGCACCAAGACTGGAATTTGATAAAAATTATGGAGAGTTTTAGGTATTTTTAAAAATTCTTTTCTTCATTCAGTCAATTACATTTCGCTTATATTCAGATAGACTTTTTAGATAAAACAAGAAATTGGCTTTTATTCTAGAATCTTCTGGTAGCCCCATAACAGGAATCTGTTGGCAAGTGAATCTGTGAATGAAAAAGGTTTCTGAATCAGTAAATGGTCATGACAACGAAAATAAATTATAATTTTAGAATTAAAAACCAGTTTTGGGCAACTTAATAAAGTTTAAAATTCATGAAGGTCAGAACGCCCTACACTCGATAGAGTAGGCAACATGCAACATACAATAAATTTATAACAACCCTTGTAAATAATATTTTTCTGTATATTTATGAATATTAATGAAAATATCCAACAACACTTTCAAGTTTAGTTTCTGTGAGAAAAAAAAATCTAAAAAAGCCAATTTACTTGTTTAATCTAAATCTAGATTTATCCGATTGAAAACTCATAAATATTATGTATTTAAAAACAATTTAAATAAATTAATATAAATTAAAAGACTCTTATCATGAAAATAGTCCCTTGTCTTCTTCTTAACGTACCTACGAAAGACTGCCATCAAATCCTAGGAATTTTTTTTTTCTTGAAGAATCGTGCTGAAACTAAAATAGGTTATATCTCTTAACAATTCCAATATCTTTTAAAATACAATGAAGGAATTATTGTTGAGATAGTTATTTACATGCACACAAAGTTTTTTCAGAAAATGTTGTATTGTTCCTTCTAGTTTTTAAAAACGATCTGTATTTGAAAATTCAGATATTAATACCGTATGAAAATCGGAGATATCAAATGTTAATAAGGACAAAAACTTTGAGTTTTTATTATTTATATGAGTAGTCAAGAATGAGCTATTTAATTAACACTTTCATCGCGGCAATGATGCTTTTTATTATCCTTAGAATTCCTCAGACAGCACTAAAATTGAAATAAAACGCAAATTATTTTAATACTTAGTTATTTTACCTTAAAAAATAATAATCAATTGCAATCAATAACCATATTCACTAGTACAACAATTGAGCATAGCTAGTATTCCTAAAATACTATTTGTCTCGTCTTTTGCTATGAATGAGTTAAAATTAAGTTTGCTGTTAAAATGGAATTTTCTGATTGGTTAAGCGTTAGTCATTGTTTTAAATTTCAGCGATTCAGTTTTTTACATATTTTAAAAATGACATCAGTGATAACTTCTAACTTATAGCTCTATTTGAACAAAAATATATTTTACTGCTTACATTTAAATATTCAATTATTTTATATTCGCTGAGTCAGATAAATTCAGTAAAGATCATTACGTGGCAGCACGTGTGGTCCATGACATCAGATTTATACTTTTTTTTGGTTGCTTGATACCACGTGACTTTTTTTCTTCCAATTCCTACTATTAGTTCACACTCTCCCTGTATATATATATATATATATATNTATATATATATAATTATTAATTAAATGTAATTAATTAGTTTTAAGTTTATATGTGAGAAAAATTATAATTATTTAATAAAAAGTAACTAAAATAAAACTTTTCTTTGTTGCCCTAATTAGCAATTTACTTTAAAAAACATTTTTTTATATTATTGGTCACTCGACAACTTAAGATTTTACAATTTTCTTGTCAAACCATGAATATTTTTCTCTTTTATGTTTTAACAAAATAGAAAAAAAAATGTCATGCTCACGTCATTCTTGTAAGCTAATTACCTAACTTGAAAACCAACTATGAAAAACCCACGAACAATACCAAAACAATTTATCCAACGATAAGATTGTGTAAAAAATGCATTACATCAAATACGTCCCATTATACAATTTTAGTGCCCGTGAAATTTCGAAGATAAGTACCCTTGAACTATCATAATACGCAATCCTCGTAAACTTCGTGTTTCTTCATAATAGCGGCTTAGAAACAAAGCACCAAACTTTGTTAACTTCCTATTATAGCTTTCTCTCTTGATATCGCTTAATTTTATCTCGCCATTATCACCATAATATTACATGTTATCGATCATAGGTGCAATTTGAGATATTATGAAGTTTCTTTAGTCTTATTTTATTAGATGAAATATTCTCTATCCAAACAATATAACAAAAAATTAGTTTCTAAAAGGTTTTAAACCATAAAAAAGGTCAATGAATGATTGCTGTAATCACATTTCCTCATTGTGAAAATACTATCATTATATTCTATAAAAAACGAAGTAGCTCCTACAACACAACATATTTTATGTATTTTTTAATTCTGTTATGTATTTTACGATATCAGTGGCTTGTTATAATAGCAACAATAAGTAAATATTTAGAAAATAATTGAATAAATAAATAAAACTCAATTATCAGATTGAAAAAGCCTTGCATTTTATTATTAATCTTTATTAAGCAGTTCAATCTTACTCCATGAAAGTTAAATTTTTACTTCGGAAAAATTATTGCTTCAATTTTTTTTCAGGGAACGATTTATGTCACCAAAAATTATGCCTAAAAACTCCACAACTCTACTCTCTAAACTTCGCCTTTTTTTTAAGAGAAAGTGGGGAGGGTGTCATTTAAAAGTAACTGGTGATTGAGGCATTGTTCGCACACTGTTAAAATTTCCATTCTAAAATTATGGTAAAAAAACGGGCAGCTGTCTGTCCATCCGATTATCCGTAAAGTTTGCGGTGAAGAATTTTTTTTTTCCCTTATGGTTTTGAAACCATTTACAAAAAGTATGGTTATAAAACCATGAATACGAAACTATACGCTTTTTAGCTATTTACAACTAGCATTTTTTAAAGACGTTAAAAAAATAATTATATAACTGGACATAGAAGCTCAGTTTTTCGTAAAGTAATGGGCATTGGAGAGTGCCGGACACTGGAAATTCTGCATGTTTTGAAGGAATGGAGGCAATATTGTGGTGTCAATACTAGGACTCGAACTCCAGTACTGCCGGTCATGAGATTGACAGATAAGCCCGCTCGGCTATCTTATCTACCCAGTTTCAAAGAACTAAGTAGCTTCATTAGGTGGTTCTAGTTGGTGCGATAAAATTCTGGTTGTTTAACCGCATTAGATGAAAGCAAATAATAAACAGTTTTTTTCAAGCTTAGCAGTTTGATTACCATTCCATTTATGGTAATTTGACTGCTACGATTAAATATGGTAAAATAAAAATTCAATAAATTGTTATTTAACCATTTTTTCCGAGAAATTTCTAACAGTATGGTGCATTGTTTAACGCTGAATCAAATGGGAGCAATCACGAGACAATTGGACGAAAAGTTGAAAAGTTATAAGAATTTCATATGCAAAAGTAAAAATATGTATGTGCACTTATTTAGTTATCTGAAATAGCTAACTAAACGAGCGAGACACTATTCTTTATGTACGTTTCTTCTTTCAATCGAATGAGACTATACACGAGTTAATATAAAGAATAGTTCAAGAGTTGCAAGCGTTTTGGTGTATAAAAAATGCTATTTTCAACGTAACTATTTACTTTCCTATCTTGGGACTATCTGAACATATGAGATGCATTTTCCGAGGAAAATTTCTTACACTGTATTGAATGAAATAAAATTCGAGTTTGATAGGATAAATAGTTTAGGTTATAAGGTAGTAGTAGTTTATTTACGTCGCACTAGAGTTGCACAATGGGCATTTGGCGACTGTCTGGGAAACATCCATGTTTATGGTTCGAAGTGAAGTTTTTTTCAGAATAAGTTAAATTCAAAAATACTTTTTATACAAAATAAACTATTTAAACTTTTTTAACATTGGCCCTTTTGATTCGCGTTTGATCTCATTCGATTAAGCTTTCGTATATCAATCTAAGATGAGTGAATATGTGCAAACTCAAAATTGTTCTTTTTGTACATAAAATGCTTATAAATTTTAAACTATTAGTCCGATCGTTGAAAAATTGATCTCATTTAATTTAGCACAAGAAACACGTGCTATTGTTGCTCTGAACTCTTCAATCAGAAATGTATTTTTGCAATGTTTTAAAAAATAGGTAAAATCAGACTTTAAAATACAAAATTAATGAAGCCAGATATTCTATTTTAAACATAATCACTTGATTCATTCTAGAACTGAAGTGCTTATATTTAATAACACAGTTTGTTTTTCTAAGTAAAAAAATACACTTTTATATACTATAATAATAAAATAAAATCTGAAAAAATAAAGTTTAGCATTTCCGCAACAGCCCGTAATAGGCTAAATATCTCACGAAGTATATACACCACCACTTCTGATCAAATGCATGATGCTGAACTTTTCATCACCATTGCGAACAAACCTCATTTACTACCCAGATAAACTGGTACTCATAAGTCTAAACTTTGGTTTAGTTTACGCAGCTACTCAACTGGGAATCCACATTGGCAGATTCGAACCTTAATGTGCCATTGCGGGTCAGGAAACTAAATTACTTTATATTGCATTCTTCAGGGTTGTTGTTTTTTTTTAAAATAAATTATTTAAACATTGATATTCTTATGAAACTGGTCATCTTAAGCTATCATTTCCATGACAAAATCAAATTGCGGATCAGGAAACTAAATTACCTTATATTGTATTCTTCAGGGTTGTTTTTTTAAAAATAAATTATTTAAACATTGATATTCTTATGAAACTGGTCATCTTAAGCTATCATTTCCATGACAAAATCAAATTGCGGGTCAGGAAACTAAATTACCTTACCGTCATTCGGGGCTACTTTGTGCAGCGCGGGCTACTTTGTGCAAATTCGAATTTGGCATTTTTCAAGTGCTGCTATTCAGTATTATGTTTATTTCACGTCAAAAATGTGTGAAATTTGAAGACAGAAGTCTCTTCTATTACTACAAACATTTTTTCGAATTTTAAAACAATCTCAAAGTGCGTTTCGTTCATCCAATGTCAACAACTTTCCGAGGACGTCGGATGTCGAAAAGTGTGCGTGGAAACTTTAGTTGTGAAATGCAAAGACGTTGATAAAAAAATTGTCGCAAGTGCAAATTTTTTTATTTATATATTAATAAACAATTATATCATGTTAGCGTTAAAAAAATTTGAAAATTAATAACAAATAAACGGAAAATGAAAAAAAATGCACTTTGGGGCTACTTTGTGCAAAAGTTTCATTCGTTTTTTTTTCGACAGAAAAATGGTCAGACGTTATAAAAAAATACCTGGAACGAGAAACTACCGTGATTACACTTTAGAAAAGCTGCAACAA